AAAATCTAGTGAAAATAAAAAAAATGAAAAGCAAAAGGAAGAAATAAAAAACAATTTCTATCTTTTTTTTTTTCAACCAACGATTTTAATGTTTTCAGCAACGGCTATAATGTAAAAAATTCGATGCCCAAATAAGAAAAACTTACCCTCTATGTTATCATCAATTTCTGGGCTTACTTCATTGAGGGCTTCAAGACCACGCTGAAGAACCGCCAAGGAAGTCCCATTTGGTGTTCCATTCGGAACAACCTAATAATTACCAGTGTAACATCAAAAAAAGACTCGTAATTTGCGAAATAAAAAATAAAAAAATTCGTGAATTATTTGATTGACTTGTTTTTTCTCTCTGTTTTCCTTTCTCTATTTCTTTAAACAACTACCATACACGAGGTGTACCAAAATTTGCACACTAGAGAACGATAAAGACTATGCTGAGAAGATGATTGTTTCAAATCAGTACTTCTAGCAAAAAAATAAAATTTTGTTGCTGCTTTTTTATTTGTCAATACCGCAAATAAAACTAGTTTTTTGTTCCTCCTAGACTGAGTTAAATATGAGGAAATACTGTGCTGTCTTAAAAAAAACACAAAGCCTCCACCGGTACAGAAATTTCATTTGTTTGTCTCCAACCTTCCCTCCGTTCCACTTGTCTTTTTTTTTTTATTGCCACTTTCTTTCCAAATTGTATACGTCCCTGTTTTTGCAACATCTGTTCTACTTCCTTTTGAAATTTTCTGAAGTGCAGCAAAAACATAGAAAAAGCAAAAGGAAACGAAGACGAAGAAAAGAAGAAGGACTATAAGTTATAAAAAAGTCTCAAAAAAAATTGAAAAAATTAGAAAAGTTTATATGCTGTGAAACCAAAAACGATCATCACCATCATTATCACCGCCATCACGGCCACAGTCATTAGTGGCTGCAGTAACACTGAGTAAACAATAAAACAGTGGAATAGAACAGTCATTACTCAGTGAATTTCAATAAATATTTGACTTGTAGCGACTTCATATTAAACGACCCCTTCTTAACCTCCATCTTCCTCCCCTCCTCCCCTCACACAAAATTGTTTCCTTGGCTACATCCTTTTTATTTTTTCAACTAATCTATGAAAAATTACTGATTAATCAGCTCGTTTAACAAAGAGAAAAAAATATATAAGCAGAAAATGCATGATAAATCCAACTGATTTATTCTAA